AACAACCCCCCTCCGCTGCACCGCTGGTGCCAGCAGCTCAGCAGCCTGAGCACCCTGAGGCGCATGGTGCTCCCGGCATCTCCCTTGCACCAGGGCTTGGCCCATTTCCCTCAGAAATGTGGGAAAAGCGAGTGCTAGTGCGAGGGGAGAAGGAAGAAATGACCTTTCCAAGAATAACAATTTACATCCAAGGAAGAAGAAAAAAAATAGCGCATGCATTTCTAAGACTCTTAACGGTTAACTATATTAAACTTCATATTGATTTTCTTCAGCTTAATTCATTTTTATGACAGTTACCAGGTTTATGGACTCAAAACACTGCCAAAAAATTCTGTATCATGCAAAGGATCACAACATTATTGAACTGGATAGCAGAAAGTCTTACACAGCAATTAAAGTGTTTTAAGGATAAACTCAAATCTGGGCAATGTTTAATTTTAGTTTACTAATCACACAAAAGTTCAACCAAAAAAATAAACCCATCAGAGATATCTCTTTAGGTAAACGACGTTCACGTTTACAGCTGGACTCTCCCTGACTTGAACGACAGCGGATCTCTGTGACTCATTTAGATGCTGAGCAGGCCGATCGTGGCGTCTGAAAGCACGAGTGGCTCTCAAACACAGCTCCCCAGCCCAACAGCAGCACAAGGAAGCTTCACTACAAGCTCGCTCTGCACGAGCAGCAGAAGGGGATGCAGTGTGAAATCCCAGCACAGGAGGCTGCTGTGGAGAGAGGGAGCTCCCCAGCACGCTGCCGAGTGCGGCACAAACGGCACTCGCCCCCCTTAGCTGCTGCATGGAAGCGGAGTCCTCCCTCAACACCCACCACCCTGTAAGCATTGACCATCTCCTGCACTTAACACCACTGTTAAGGCCACTTGATCCTATACTGAGGACCCAAATTCTGCTCTCCTTTATACTTCTGGGGATGCATTTATGCAACTTGGCAGATGCGAGTGTGCAGAAATCTCCTAAACAAGCTTTATTCTCTGGGAAATGCGTGCACTCCAGTGCCATTAACCTAGCTGGCTGTATTGGAAACTGCGAGGGAAAGCTCAAGTCAAACCCACAGCACGTTCAGAGAATCTCTTACCTCTACTGGCAAATACTCCATCTTAGCACGTTAATTAACCAGGCTTCCAGTTCTTCACTACTGCTGTCAAAAACATACCGCTGAGCTAAAAAACAAAACAAACAGAAACGTTTTACTCAGAAGGCGACCTCTAGAGCCCTCCAGCACTCACACTCCTCATTCTCTTTTATTACATTCTACAAGCACATCCCATCGTCCCATCCCGTCTCCAAACATAAACGTATATTCTACCAGCCTCCTCCAATTTGTCCCCCATTCCTGCGCTGCCAGTTCTGGCATGCTTCAAGTGCAGAAGCCTAAGGTTCCCTTTTCCAAAATAAATGAGGGGAAAAAAAAAAAAAAAAGAGGAATTCTAACCCCCACGCACACCCCAGCCGCCTTGCAGCTCCCTCCACCTCCAGAGCAGATCTCAGCTCGCCGGGAATCACAGAAAGATTAGGAGGCAGCTGCAAAGTCTGTCATCAACCCCAGCTCGTGCCCCACAGCCACCAGACAGGGGACAACTTGCAAGAAAGGGCCACGTGCAACCGTCACATCCCTTCCCATCCTCATGGGTCAAACATGTTCTCACCAAAATTCAGAGGACAAGGGGGAGAGCCCTGAGAGTGAGAACTCGGGTTCTTAGACTGAACGCTACAACTCACATAACCAAAATGCTTGCAAATATCTGAAAGCTTTTGCTTCATTATCTTACACCTCATGCATCTCATACAAAATTTGTTAATGATCTACCAAGCTTTACTGTATTCTTAAAAGTCAGAGCACTTAAAATAATGATAAAAAATCAGTGTCTCCTGCCTATTTAATGTTCTGTAGTTTTTAGACACACAGAAAATAATTTTTAAATTCTTTCTTAAAGGAACTTTATGTTTCATAAGAGGTTTCAGAGAAATAAAAATGAAAAACTTAGCAGAGCTTGTACAGAAAAGCTGCGCAACTAAGCTGGTTCTGCCCTCGTTTCAGAGAGAGAAGAAAACAGAGAAAGTGTAGCATAAATAAATATGGCAGTTTTTAAAAATAGTTATCACTTGTGCATGTCACAATATCTGTAGCATCCTCTGATAACATGACTTATCAATAAGGCCTCAGGTAAAATTCTGATCCCATAAATTCCCACTAAAATGGCACTGACTTTTAAAATCTATTTGTTTAATTATGCCGTACCTGATAATTATACTAGTCCTATTAGTTCTAGTTCTATCTAAAAACAAAAAAAAAAAACACTGTTTATTTTTTACATTCAGCGTACTGAATATACTCCGAGTAGTTAAAATTGTTCTAGTATTTTATATTCACTGGATGTCAAAAATCAGAGAATCCCAAGAGT